GGGCGCGGGCGGCGGGGGCCGGGCCGGGGCGCGCGGGCCGGGCCTCAGAAGGCGCTCCGCCGACCGCCGCGCGGCCCCAGACAAAGGCGGCGCATTCCTGAAGAGGAGGCGGCCCCTGCAGGCGGCCGCGGGGATGGCAGCAGGGCGGGAGCGGGCTGGGGGCGCGGGCTGAGGGCGTGGCGGCCTGGGCTGGCCCGGCCAGCACCGCGAGGGCTTTGTCCCGAGGCCTGGGGATGGGAGGGGCGCCTCAGGCCTCTGCCTGGCCCTCCCCCTTCCTTGCCCCACTAAATCCTGGAGACCCCCGGCCCCCGCGCAGCAGTCCTTGGCTGGAGTGGGATTGCCTCCATTTTCAGTAAGTGAACGGAAGCTCAATGCTTGAGAAAGTTCCAGGGGCCCCCGCCCATCTTTGCAGCCCTCTCTGCCCCATCCCAGGGAGGGGACCCAGGCCTGATCCTGCCCTTCACCCCGCAGGGCCCCCTGCCTCTTCCCTTCCGTGGAACGGGGCCTCCAAACCCGGAAGACTCTCAAGGCCACCTGCTTAGTGTCCCCTACCGTCCACCAAGCCAGCCTCAGCTGTGGGGCCAGGGACCCCAGTGACGACCCCACTGCCACAATTACACATAGGGGTCCCAGCTCCCTCTCCTGGTGGGGGGATCTACCCAGCCTCACAGGTGAGCTCCTGAGTACATCCCGCGATCCCTTGGAAGGCTGCCCTGTACATGGAGAAGCACTGGGACCCAGGCTGGCCAGGCCTGGGCCTCTCCAAGCCCAACTTGCCGGTAAGAGGACCATGTGGATGAGGGACTGGCTGGTGGAGCTGGTGCCAGTGTGGAGGACCCTGACCCAAGGAAGCTGGCTCCTCCCTGTGGCTGGAGTGTCCTGGCTGAGAGCTTGTTACCCTTGTCTGGTGACGGGAAATGGAGAGACCTGGCGACTGGGCAGCCCTGTGTACTCTGCCTCCCACCAGATAAAGCCCCCGACCATGGAGGTGTCCCTGAGGGAGACCACTGCCTTGTCCAGGAAAGCGAGGACCTCCCAGAGCCCCAGCTCCCATCTGAGTGTGGGTGGCAGGCAGCTTCGTGGGGTGCCCATGCTGGACACCCTCTAGCAGGGTGTGAAGGCTGCGCTGCTCAGACTCCTCTGGCTGCTGCTCTGTAGCCCTGACCACGCCTCAGCCTGCTTTGTCCCTGCCGCCCTGTCCCAGCCTTGGTTTTCCAGGCCATTGTGGAGTGCGTCCAGTTCCCAGCCACATGGAAGGTGAGATGGAGCCCAGGTACCCCCAGCCGCTCTGCTCTTGGCCCCAGAAGGGACAGGGTGTGCACCCACCGCTGCCTCCCCAGTCAGTGCTGGCTGCTGAGTGCCACCAGCCTGGCTCCTGCGGTGGCTCAGTCAGTCCTCCCACAGCCACACAGGAGCTTTGTCACCCACTGCACAGACGGGGAATCTGAGGCCATGCTCACAAAGCCTGACGCTGAAGCCAGCACCCTTCCTCTAGGGTCCCTGCATCAACAGCCGCCAGACCGGGAACTGAGCTCTTCCTGCAGGGACACCTCAGGCCAGGAGAAAAGGCGTGTGGCCATCAGCGTGAGACAGGACTAGTGTGGGCCATGCTCAGTCGTAGGCTGCCCTATGCCTGCAGAGGGGCCTTGAGAAGACACTTCCCTGCTGACTGTGCGTGGGGGGCTTTCATGATTAGTGACCCAGAGTTACCCACCGTGGCTGAAGGCTGTAATCCCACCCCCTGTAGGGTCCCCCTTCTACAGCAGCTGGGGCACGGGGTGGGCATCAGAGGGAATGGGGAGCCAGGGCTGCCATGGAGGCTTCTGGCACCGGATCCCTCTCCAGCCGCCAAGCCCGGCTGTTCCTGGCTGTTCTAGGTTGAGGCCTGGGCCTCCACCTGCCCCCAGGTCTGTGCAGTGGGAGCAGGGCCGAGGCCTGCAGAGGGAGCCGGGGCGCTGGGCTGCTGGCAGGTTTCCTGTGCCCGCGGTCAGCACCTTGGCCAGCGCCCTCCCCACTGGAGGCGGGGCCAGACTCTGGGCGTTGGCTGGGGTGAGTAGGTTTGGGCCAGTGCTGAGGGGACTCTTGGGGGGCAGAGGGGTCACAGCATGGGGGACGGAGGACTCTCTGGACAGGTGGCCATGGAGGCATCACTCCCAGGACCTAATGGGCAAGGGAGGGTGGGCAGCTGGCAACTGACGATGGGCCAGTGGGGAGGGCTAGATGGGGCTGGACCCTCTGGTCGAGGGGCACAGCCTGCTCCCTTCCTCTGCCTCTTTCATGGAGTTCATACCATTCGGCTCTTGGGAAGTTCTGGCAGGGTGCTGGGAGGACAGGCCATTTGGCCGTGTAGATGGGAGCTCCCAGGCTTTTGGGACATGTGACCCTGGGGATCAGGAATGAGCTGTGACTGGATAGACCTGTCACACCTGCCTTAGCTGGATCGCAGAGCACACTGGCTTCTGCCTGAATTCATCCCTGTCCCCACACCCACAACACACAGGACACGGCCTCCTGCCAGCCCTCCTGAACCTCCATCTGCTCGAGGGAGGCCTGTTGCTGCCACGGGGCCTCCTCACCTCCCACCCCCACCCAGGACTCAGCCTCCACTACCAGAGTGCGCAGCCTGAGAGGGTCCTGCCTGGCTGTGTGGCCTGGCTCAGTTCTTGCCTTCTCTGAGCTGGGTGCAGCATGTGGCCTCTGGGCATGGTCAGCTGGTCATTGTCCCTCCTTTGTCCACCTTTCCTGTCTCTTGAGAGGACTGTATGGGGCCCTAACATGGCAGTGCAGGATTTTTTGCTCAACACTCCAAGTCCATTCATAGAACCCAGCCTGGGGCAAGGGGACCCTTCCCTGTGGCCAGTCCTGGGCTGGCAGGGACGTGTTTCAGCCTCCTTGGAAGGTGACTGCTTCCAAGGCCTCAGGGAGGCTTGTTTCCATCCTGGAGAGACAGGCCCGTCATGGATTTGCACAGGCGCCTGCGCGGCGCCCACGGACATTCAGATCCTCAGTCCCTCCTAAGGGGTGGGGAAGCAAGGGAACTTGGCCTTTGGTGTGCATGTCCTGGGCCACTCTGGGACAGTGAGGAGAGACCAGGAAGAAGCTCGAAGGTCATGTGGCAAATGTATGCCTGCCGCCCAAGTGTGCCAATGTGACCGACCCTTCCCAGCACTCTGAGTGGGTGGCTAGGGATGTGGCCCAGTGCCAGGGAGCTGGGGGGTGCCGGCCTGCCATCTGCTCTCACCACAGAGGGCGGCTGTGTGCCCGAGGCCCAAAAGGACTCTGCGCCAGGCCTGCTAAGTGCGTCGTCTCATTTGGTGCTGTGATGTAGACATCACTCCCCCCACCCATTTTCCAGATGGGAAACGGAGGTCTGGGGAGAGTTTAGATGGACACACATCCTGGCAGCCCCTCTTGAACCACTCTCTGTCCTGGAAGCCCCTGCTTCCTCCAGAAGCCTGTCACCATCCCCAGCCTTGGGGCTGCAGGGAGTGTCCTGGCCTTTCCTTAGCAGCTCTTTGCCCCCAGGGACTCCCATTCCAAGGAGTCCCTCTGCCCAACTTTGGTGCATATTAAGCCATAATTAATCTGCTTCCTCATTTCTTATTCATCAAAGGCACACACAGCAGCAACCAGGGCTGGTGCAGGGAAGGGGCCAGCAGCCCAACCCTTGGCAGTGTCCCCAAGCCTCCCACTGGGCCAGCCCATCTCCAAATGCCTCCAGCCTCCGCACCGAGCAGGGCCTCCTCCCACAGGATGGCGTCCTGGATTCTGCTGCACCGGGCACGCCCCCTGCCAGGCAGCGTGCACCTCTTGTCTCCTGGAGGCCAGTGGGCTGTGTGCATTGCACAGTGACGGCTCTCACCTCCACCTCCCCAACCCCGGACCAGTCTGGGGTGGGAACCTGGCCAGGAGAGCGGGAGCAACTCAGGCTCGGGGCGACATACAGGGCTGGCACCTGGACCACAAGGCTGGCTCTGCTCCCTTCTCCTGGGTCCCAGAGGAAGGGGGGAGTCCCTAGGGCCTTGGGATGAGCTTGGGGCACGCTTGTGGTCACCAGTGGTACTCAGGGTCCTCTCCCAGGTGGTGCAGCTGAGTTGGTGGCTTCTGTCTGGGCAGGCCAGCCTGGGCTGGAGCTGGGAACAAATAGGACACTTCTGGTCCCTGAGGGCCCAAAGTCTGGTGCAGAAGCCAAACTCCAAGGCAGGGTCCCTGAGCTGTGCCCAAGGCGTCTGCTATAGCTTCCTGCCCCTCCCCCGCCCCTGCAGGGAATGCGGATCCCTCTAGAGCCACCCACCTGGCAGTGACAGCTAAATTGGGAGCTGCTGTTCACACCAGGAGCCCAGCGGGCAGTCAAAATGGGGTCGGGAGGGAGGGGCACCTGCTGAGGGTACCCATGAGCTTCCAGTAGGGCAGGGAAGGCAGGCCTGGGCATAGCCATGGCTGTCAGCTGGGGTGGACAGGGGTGGAGGGCAGGGCAGGCCTTGAAGACCCATCTTGCTGGGGCAGCTCAGGCTCAGGCTTGGTTCTGACCGCTGGCCTGGGATGCCCAGCTGGCCAGTACCCTGCCTTGCTCTTCCCAGGGCTCCTTGGGTCCCTGAGTCCCGTTTCTGGGCCCCGCGATCCATGGGTCATGCAGATTTGTTCCGTTTCCCAGATGGAGGGGCTGAGGGCTCATCTCAGGGTGCCCTACCCGGGACACAGGAGGGCCAGCCTGACTCGGAGCTCAGTGCTCCAACCCAAGGGGAATCATGGAGGCCCCTCCACTCTGTCCACTCACTGCTTTCATCTGATTGCTTTCTCAGTCATTTAG